TGGGGAGCATTAGGTAGAGACTTTGTATGTGGGGGGGGGACCATGAGGCCATAACTGGGCATGCAGCGTTTATGATGGGGCCACTTTAAAATTGCTTCTTTCAACATATTAAGTTGAAATCTGTAACTGCTGGAAATATTGATCGCCTATTATCACACGATTGTCTCTTCAGCCCAAGTGCACTACGGCTGATCTCCCAGTATGAAGGAAGGTGATGAAGCCGACGCTGGTTTGGAGGAGGATGAAGATGCACATTGCACATTATCACAATGCGTTGCTGTCTCACAATGGAAGCTGCTACAGGAAATTGTTAAAGTATTATAAATAACAGTTTATTAAAATATTATGTGAAATATTGTTGGGGGTGGGGGGAGGGATCCGTTATATCTAAATGTTTTATATCTGTCCTGGTATTTATAAAATAAAATGTGTTCTGTACAATTTCTGGCTTCCGTTATTCGTAAAAGAAGCGACACCGTTCACATTGTATCCGTTCTGAATACATAATAATATTCCTGAACTTTTACACTTTTATGCAGAGCCCCCATAACCCTCATCCCACCGAACATAATGGTTAATTGTCCCGACTGCTGTGGACTGCCAGAGGTGACATCTAGTTACAATTATCCTGTTCTGCGCATCCAGAGAACATGGAGGGAGTTGTATCCTTTACTATTGAAGAAGCATTTGTACCAGGTGCTGCTCACATTGCTCCCACTGTGTCTCAGTGACACTGGGTCAGATCTCAATCTGGTTCAATCTAGAAACCACCAAGACTATTAGGGATGGCCACCTGTCCTGCCCTCACTCAAGGTTGTCCTCCACTTTGCTGTGCATCTTGTGAGCGGAGTCTGAGATAGCAGCCTTCTTACATTGTCAGTGGAAGAAGGTTGCTCTTATGTTGGTGGTTAGTGGGAGAAGGCCCCCCTTTAGTCAGTGGGAGAAGAACTTAGGTTGGTGGTCAGTGGGAGGACTCCCTTACATTGGTGAACAGAGGGAGAAGGACCACCTTATGTTGAAGGACACCCTTATGTTGATCAGTGGGAGAAGCACTTGGGTTGGTGGTCAGTGGGAGGGCTGCCTTACATTGGTGGTAATTGGGAGGAGTGTCCCCCTTACATTGGTGGTCAGTGGGAGAAGGATCCCCCTACATTGGTGGTCAGAGCAAAGAATGTCTGTGGTTACTAAGGGCGCGCAGAGTCTGCGTTAGTGGTCTTCTTACATTGGTGATCAGTAGGAGGAATGTCCCCATACATTGGTGGTCAGTGGGAAGAGGGTCCCCATACATTGGTGGTCAGTAGGAGGAATGTCCCCATACATTGGTGGTCAGTGGGAGGAATGTCCCCATACATTGGTGGTCAGTGGGAGAAGGGTCCCCATACATTGGTGGTCAGTGAGAGGAAGGTCCCCATACATTGGTGGTCAGTGGGAGGAATGTCCCCATACATTGGTGGTCAGTGGGAGGAGGGTCCCATACATTGGTGGTGGTCAGTGGGAGGAGGGTCCCTATACATTGGTGGTCAGTGGGAGGAGGGTCCCCATACATTGGTGGTCAGTAGGAGGAATGTCCCCATACATTGGTGGTCAGTGGGAGGAGGGTCCCCATACATTGGTGGTGGTCAGTGGGAGGAGGGTCCCCATACATTGGTGGTGGTCAGTGGGAGGAGGGTCCCCATACATTGGTGGTGGTCAGTGGGAGGAGGGTCCCCATACATTGATAAACAATGTGACAAGGGCCCCCTTCCATTGGTGGTTGGTAGGAGGAATGTCCATTGTTACTCAGCCAAGAGGACCAGAGGTTACGGTATTACATTGGCACGGGATCTTTGTAGTAACCATCAGGAGGGCCACCAGTGTGCTCACCGCTCTATGATCCTGGGCCAGGACAGGCTGGTCTATGGGTGTCTATGATGAAGCAAAGATTTTATTCCTCCCAGACAGAATTCAGTATTTTAATGAGCAACAAATTAAAAGTAAACAATTGTCAGACATTCCAGAATTAAAATATCAATCTACAAATATCAACATCTTTCATGCACCCTAATTCTTCATCAACCGATTAAAAAGGGTCCAGTGTACGCAAAACTGAGTGTCCCTCTAGGACTGACCCACCTGTCAGCTTCTTCTCCCATCATTCACCTTTTACCATTAACATGCCGTCCTTGAGGTCCAATCAGTGACTGTGCCTAGGCTAAGATGATGTCATCAGTCTGCTGCAGGCAGTAGGGAAGCATTTTCTCAGTCTCCCCTCCCCCAGTGATCAGACTGCTGCAGGCATTGAGGATGAGAGTCCCCTTTGTAATGCATTGTCAGGGGAGGGCTGTGATCTGTGGCAGAGGTAATACGTAGGGAGGAGCTCCTTTTCGGATGGGATTCAATCCAAACCTGGAAAGTAGCTCCTTCTGCTGCCAGCCAATCAGCTGCTTCTGGGGGTGGGATGCTGTGATATCATTAACCTTATATGGTTATATTTGGTCAATGCCGTTGACGTAATGTGGCCATGTGACCATATAAGGTCAATAATGTCAGCACAAGCACACCGCCCCTTGATGCGGCTTCAAGGCGGGAGAATGATTGGCGGGAGGTCCCCCATGTCCCTTCCAGGTTCGGAGAAGCTAAGCTTCAGACCGGGGTCAGTCCAATCCTGATCTCACCCCAGGAAGTGGGGGGGTCCGATAGCACCATTGCCGGGGACGAGGAGCCCCCACATCTCAGTAAAATTAGTTCACTTGACAGATTTCTAATTTAAAACATTAGGCGAGATTTAAGGTTTTTGCTTTCTTTAGTACCTGGGGAAAATGTATGAATGGGGGGTGGGAGATCCTTCACCCAAAATGTATGAATGGGGGATCCTTCAATCAAAATGTATGAGTGGGGGGATCCTTCAATCAAAATGTATGAAAGGGGGAGATCCTTCACCTGAAATATATGAATGGGGGGAAGAGGAGATCCTTCATCTGAACTGTATGGGGGGGGGCGGCATATCTGCCAATCAATATGTATGAATGGTGGGTGGGGATCCTTAACCCAAAATGCATGAATAGGGGTCGGGAGTTCCTTCATGAAAAATTTATGAATGGGGAGTGGAAAGCCTTTACCCAAAATGTATGAGTAGGAGGTGGGAGATCCCTTACTTACCCAAAATGTATGAATGGGGAGTGGGAGATCCTTCAATCAAAATGTATGAAAGGGGACAGATCCTTCACCCAAAATGTATGAATGGGGGGTGGGAGATCCTTCACCCAAAATGTATGAAAAATGTATGGGGGGGGGGGATATCTGCCAACCAAAATGTATGAATGGGGGTGAGGATCCTTCACCCAAAATATATGAATAGGGGGTGTCCTTCGCCCAAAATGTATGACTACGGGGGATATCCTCCACCCAAAATGTATGGAGGGGGGGGAGGGGTCTGGACTGATTACTAGCCAGTAGTTGAACCCAGAAGGAAACTTCTTCCATCAGCTGTGGCCGGGAAACACTTTAATTTCAGTTTGGAGCTATATCTTTCCCCCCCCCCCTCAGGTCCAAAACTAGAACATTTCAAAGAAAGGTTTTGGGGGAACTTCCAGCATTTTTAGTAAATCCCTTCATGTGAATTAGCAGTTTTCTACTTCAGAATATAAGAGGAGCCATATGCGAGACCCCTAGCTGTGCTACGAGGAGAGCTCAAAACTGGTGTATGGTGGAGCCGTAGCCATATATGAGGAGCTCTGCAGAGCTAAAAACTATTGTATGGCAGCTTATCCAACCGTTGATGTCATTCTCCGAAGCACCAAAAAATGCAGCACATGCGCAACGGCGCGTGTTTCGGCGCTGCTTTATTGCATTGGGGTGTCGTTCAAAAGCAACAGAGCAGCATCATGTTTTGGTCCCTGTCCCGTGTCGTCCCCCCACGTGGCCCCATGTTCATCTCCTGGACGTCTTGTCTTCCTCCTCGTCGCTGTTGTCACCTTTGTCCTCGGTCACCTCGCACAGCTGACTCTCATCCACGTGCTCCAGGGACTCCGCGCGCTGCATGGACAGCTCATGAAGGGATATGCGGGGCAGCGTGTTCTGTTCCGGATCGAGCCACGGCTTAAACTCCGGCTTGTTCTTCTTCTTCCACGCCGGGTACTGGAGGCACGCCTTGTGCAGCTTCCGGAGGATCTGGATTGAAGAAAGGGGACACGCCCATATTAAACTACAGATGAAACGTCCTAGTGATCATGTGACCCCAGACCATCAACTTTCCTGATCAGAGCAGGTGTGCACTGCACACAATAATGACCAGCAGACTACAAAGGCTCCACGCTGATTGTTACATACACTGTAAGGGTTAGTTCACACCATAAGCAGTGCGTTCCGGTCCAATTCTGGCCGGAACGCACTGCCTCGCATTGCAGCCGGCTCTTTTTTTTGCCGGGCTGGAGGAGGGCGTATCTGCCGCGAGGCAAACAAGGCGTTTGCCTCGTGCGGCAGATTCCAAGGGAGCGGCCACTTGCGTACTTTGTGACCTGCAGCCAGCTCAGAAGTCAGGTACGTGGTCATGGACGGATGCAGACCGTGTAGCCGAGTCTGCGCCGGCACTCGGATCCTTTCGGCCAGCGCTCTTTATCCTGTCCCACTAAAAAGGTGAGCCGGCCGCAATGCGAGGCAGTGCGTTCCCACCGCAATCGGGCCCTAACGCAATGCAACTGGTGTGAAGGGGCCCTAAAAGTTTGTGGACCCCCCCCATAGGACCAGAAGTTTGTGGACTTTCATCACCATAGACCTAAGTTACCCGATGATCAGGATGTCCAGCAGTCTGTTTAAGCTTTCCTGATCAGAGCAGGTGTGCATTGCAGACTACAAAGGCTCCACGTCGATTGTCACATACACTGTAAAAGTTTATGGGCCCCTGACCATCACCAGCAGAGGAATACGTCACACTCGGATACATACCTTCGGTGCCAAGTACTGGGAAGATTTATTAACCACCCACTTCGGTAAGGAACCTGAAAAACATAATTTCATTGCGGTTAGGACGTCTCCTTTAATTAAAACACTTGCTAAGCCCCTCCTCCACCCCCCCCTTGCTATTGGTCACTCCGAGCTCCAGCTAACACTGAATAAGCATTTACTGCAACGGTTCTTATTTTGGATTAAAGGTTTAAACCCTCTGAATAAAAGTGGAGTGTTGTAAGGGGGGATGAGATCCCACCCCCCCGCCAGTGTCATATGGTTCTTCCCGACCCATTTAAAAGGAGAACTATGGGGTCAGTGTTTTTCCCCATAGTTCTCCTTAGGGTAACGGGAGGACACAAACTAGCGTCCTCCCGTCACCCTAAGCTCAGTATCCCGCGAGCTGTAGCGGATCCCGACATGGACGTCGAGATCCGCCCAGCTGCGTGAGTGACAGCTGGCTCTGCCTATCTAGAGGCAGAGCCAGCTGTACCCGCCCCCCTCCCCCGTCCGTTCCGCCAGTCAGCGCTGGAGGATCGGAGCGGGGAGGAGGGAATCCAGCCCCTCACCTGTCACGGCAGAGAGCCGTGACAGGATCGAGAGGTGAGCGAACGCCGGTATGTGTTCGCTCACTTCCCGATCTACTGAGCCAACCTGTGACAGTCTCATTGTCACAGGTCGGCTAGAACTATGAGGCGAGTGGAAATCACTCATCTCATAGTTCTCCTTTAAGGAAACACATTAGCTGGACAGCTTGGCCCGCATGCAAACATGGAACGATATATAAAATGAAGGACTGTGATGTAACAGAAGGAATGTGTATACTCAATTCTATTAAATTTGGGGGATTGGCCCCGCCCAGTGACCAGATTTCGGGATTTTTTTTTCCCTCTAGTGGCCCCTTTAAGTTTTTGCTCAGACCTGTCAATCATCTTCACACAATGAAAACACATTGATAAAGGTTCTTCTAACCTATCACATTGACCCCGGCGTGTCCACTCACCTCGGGGGTCTACCTGTGCCAGGTACGTGAGGGTGGAGCTCGTGGGGCCATTGGACTTCACCAGGTATCCCGCCAAATGAGAGACGGCCCGGACCAAATCCTTCCGGGCAGGATACATCTGCAGACATGGAAATCCCAATCAGAGATCAATATTTATCATTCCTAAAACACGAGAGAGACGGCGGAAACCCCCGATCACCACAACCTTACATCACACGGAACATGCTATTGTCATGAAAATAATCCCTGGTGATCCCGCCATGGAGGTCCTCATTCAGGCACTTCCTGTTATAGGGGGACAATACTCTGTTTTTGTTCAGGGACTTCCTGTTATAGGGGGACAATACTCTGTTTTTGTTCAGGGACTTCCTGTTATAGGGTGACAACTTTCTCTCTGTGTTCAGGCACTTCCTAATAGTGACAGTGGACCATGTTTGTGTAATGTGCGCTGAAATGGCTACTTTGAGTCTCCATCAGAAGCCCATGTGACTGGGTGACAACATAGGAGGACAATTGGGATACAGGGATAGAGCGTTGTCACCCTATAACAGGAAGTGTCTCAACAAGGACAGAGCATTGTCACCCTATAACAGGAAGTGTCTGAACAAGGACAGAGAGTTGTCACCCTATAACAGGAAGTGTCTCAACAAGGACAGAGAGTTGTCACCCTATAACAGGAAGTGTGGGTTCACCAGGGATTATTTGAATTAGGTCTGTGGATTTATAATGATTGTTCCATCTTCTATGTGATTTCGGTGATATGAGCCCTCTGCCTCCCTCTGATATCCGTTATTGATCGGTTATCTGATCAGTTTTGTACATTGAGAAGCTGTAACTCACGTTGTGTTTGACGGAGAAGTTGACGATGATATAAGAGTCGGGTAAGATCAGCCAAGAGCGCAGGGTGACAACGTCACGGTTCTTCAGAGGCTTGGGACACTTCCCTGAGGATGGGGGAGGGGAGAAGAACAATGGATACACTGTGTCACCTTATCATTCATCATGACTCTGGAATGTCACCTTTACCCACAGGAGTAATATCCCACGTCGGCGTTCAGGGACAGGCGGGCGATGTCCCGGGTCTCTATCATCGTCACATCCCACTTCCTGCGATATTCAATGTCATGGAGGACGTCGTACACCGTCTCTGCCGCTACGTCCGGGAAACTCATACGACCCTGGGAAGAGATGAGCAGCATTACATGGAGAGATTTCCCCTCGCTTCCTGTCTCAGTTCACGTCCCTCACTTCCTGTCTCAGTTCACGTCCCTCACTTCCTGTCTCAGTTCACGTCCCTCACTTCCTGTCACACTTCGTCTCTCGCTTCCCGTCTGGTAAAAGGTCACCAGGACAGGAAGTATTCCCGCTGTAACAAGTTTCTTTAGAAAGCAGCCTGAGTGCAGAGGCCTGTCCCCTGCCAGCATGCTGCAGAGAAGGAGCCTTGCTCTCCGTGTGGAAGCAGTGGTCTCTCTACAGAGGTCCAGCCTGCCACTTGATGAGTCAGAGCTCTGCAGAGGGTGTGACACGTCCCTCACTTCCTGTCTCAGTTCACGTCCCTCACTTCCTGTCACACTTCGTCTCTCGCTTCCCGTCTGGTAAAAGGTCACCAGGACAGGAAGTATTCCCGCTGTAACAAGTTTCTTTAGAAAGCAGCCTGAGTGCAGAGGCCTGTCCCCTGCCAGCATGCTGCAGAGAAGGAGCCTTGCTCTCCGTGTGGAAGCAGTGGTCTCTCTACAGAGGTCCAGCCTGCCACTTGATGAGTCAGAGCTCTGCAGAGGGTGTGTCAGAGTTCTGCAGAGAGACCCCTGCTTTCACACAGAGAACAAGGCTCTCTGCAGAACTCTGACTCACCCCATGCTAAGTCAGAGCTCTCCAATCAGTAAAGCTCATGCTTCTTGTTGATTGGAGAGCTCTGACTCATCAGGCTGGACCTCTGCAGAGAGACCACTGCTTCCACACAGAGAGCAGAGATTCCCTCTCTGCAGCATGCTGGCAGGGGACAGGCCTCTGCACTCAGGCTCTGTGCGGCCTTATCCCCGGATTTGGGGTTCTCTGCATTCCCGGGGATCTAGTCGGTGGAAGGATGACGTCATCCCCACCCCCACACTATAGACGTCGGGGGAAGGGGAGGATATCACGAGTTCTTCATTGCCCTCTTATCTCGGATGTCTGGATCCCTCAGCCGTGACCCTTCAGCCGAGTCCTCCAGTACAGCAGAGCGATGTGATCAATCACACGTGTGTACACAGTCAGGAGAGATAAAGCTTGAGCCGTGTTCGTCACATGTAGGCTGCGTCCTATTTCCACAATTATATGTTTCTTACGTGTTTCCATTCACACAGCGTGTCTCCAACACATACACTATATTGCCAAAAGTATTGGGACGCCTTTACATGCACATGAACCTTAACGGCATCCCAGTCTTAGTCCGCAGGGTTCAGTATTGGGTTGGCTCCACTTCTCCTCCAGTATTTGCCGATACCATGGCCCGAAAGCCGATACCATCTCCTGATGGTGACAACAGTGGGCCATGTCTGTGGAATGTGTGCCGAAACAGCCACTTGTAGTCTTCACCAGAGGCCCATGTGACAGGGTGACAACGCAGGAGGACATTTGGGAGACAGGGACACAGCGTTGTCACCCTATATAACAGGCAGTGCCTTTATGGCGGGATCAATATAATGAAAATTGCAGATTTATGAAGATTAGAGTGAACTGTTCAGGATTTCGGAGGGTTTTATGGATCGGGGTTCGGTATGAGGCGGCGGAGCTGGGACATTCCGGATATTCTCAGTATAACAATTTCCTGCAACAGATACATTTTGTCTTTGACACTTTATCAATTCTTATCTCAGATCATCGGCAGTTTCCTGTGAACCCGGGTGGGGGATGGGATCAGGGTGTTGCTGTGCGGATGAAGAACTTCCTCTATAGAAATGAAAAGGGAAGCTGAGAGCGCGGTGTCATCCTCATCCGTCACTAAAGAGGAAGTGTACATAGAGACAGTTGTCATGTGTGAGGGATGATGGGAGGTGACAGGTGTAAAGTCTGGAGGAGTCACATGGAGATGACGATCCCGGATCAATAAAACCATCCTTCCGGATCTCCCCTCCCCCCCATCCTGATCCTTGGACCCTGCATTCATTTCCATCACCATCCAGAACCCAATCCCCCTTTACCCTCCAGGACCTTCCTCCCTCATCCAGATCCCTCCCCACAGGGGCGTTACTAGAAATCACAGGGCCACATAGAACTGAAGGAGAGATCATGTTACAGGGCTGGATTAAGAACACCACGGTGCCGGGTGCTGAGGAGTTTGGTGGCCTTGTTATGGAAATGTCAGCAGTCACCGGGGCCCCGGGGGCCGCTTCCTCCTGTCCGGGCGGCTGTGATTTGTAGTTTGTAGTCTTTCTACAGCTTGGAGTCACTGGTGGAGCGCCAGGGCCTGGCTGCAGCTGTGACCCTGGTAGATCTGCCACTCACTCCAAGCTATAGAGGGACTATAACTCCCAGCAATACATTACACAGCAATGCAGAATACCACCAGCTATAGAGGACTACAACTCTCAGCAATACATTATACAGCAATGCAGAATACCACCAGCTATAGAGGACTACAACTCCCAATACAACTCCTCGGCAGGGGCCGATGCGG